GGGGGGCGGGCGGGGCCCGTGACTCGCCGGCCCCCCAGGGAGTGTGGGAGAGCTGTGTCCAGAGCTCTGTGCTCCCACAGCTGCCCCCAGCCTCCCGCCCTCCTCCCAGCCGCCGTGCTGACCTCCTCCAGCGGGGGTCCTGAGGTGGAGGCTAAAGGATGCGCCTGTGTGCACCATCGTGGAGGCAGGAAAGGGGGCGCCAGGCCAGGGGGTCAGCAGCCCAGGAGGGCTCCTGGGCCTGGACTGGGGGGCCTGAACCCCGCCGGAGCTGAGCTTTCCCCTGGAAGCTGCTTCCCAGCTCAGCAGCCAGGATCTGTAGGTGGACAAGGGGCTGGCTACAGTCTAGCATGTTTTTTAAAAAAAGATTTATCTATTTGTGCCCACAAGAACTGGGGTGCAGGCCAGAGGTGCTGGGCGGGGGGCAGTGAGATTTACCAGGGACAGTGGGGAGCAGAACAGGCGGATGGATGGAAACACACTGCTGAGGGGAGCAGTGGGGAGACAGGAGGGGTCTGCCGCACCCTGGGGTCCCTCCCTGGCCCAGACAGCTCCGCAGCGCCGCCCTCTGACCCCTGCGCCCCTGGGGAGGGCCCCTCGCTGTGTTTTTATAAAGAACACTGCTAAGTAAATTCATGGGATAAACGGAATCGTGAAATGAATGATTAAGTGCATGGACTAGCCTCCCCTTGAGCAGCTCAAGTATTCTAGAAATTTCTTTTTTAGTTCTTCCCTCTACTTCTTCGGAGAGCGCCCCGAGTGCTCACTCGGCACCCTTTGGTTCCGCTTCACTATGATTTCAGCGAGGGAAAAGTCCCTTCTCTCCCGTCCAAGGCTGACTCATACTTTGTCCTCTCTGGGGAGGGAGTTGACCCGCTGCAGCTGCAGACCCGGGCAGAGCCGGGTGAGCTGCTGGGCCGGGCGTCTCCTCAGAGCCGCCGTGGACTGACGTGGCCCCTCGACGGGCTGAGTGACTGGCAGGCAGACGGCTGTCCCCTGGAATGCAGACTCGGCCGGGCTCAGTACCGGACAGTGCTTGGCGCTGTGGGTGGGGGTCCCCGGCCGGGGGCCCCGGGACTTGTAGCTTTGTTGTGTCTGCAGGAGGCAGCTGCACGTGGCTGAGCTGCCCGGACCCCCGTCCCGGCCCACTCGCTGGCCGAGGGACCTTGGGCACAGTCTTTACCGGCTCTGACCCTCCTCTGTGAGAGGGGACAGGGCGCTCCTGGTGGCCGCAGCCCACGCAGCCCTAGTTCAGCCCCCGCAAGGGAGGGACCCCAGGGCGCGGCAGACCCCTCCTGTCTCCCCGCTGCTCCCTCAGCAGTGGACTTCTCCACCTGCCTGTCCTGCTCCCCGCTCTGTCTCTGGGGAGTCCTCTCACCCCTGCACCTCTGGCCTGTACCCCAGTTGTGTGCATAAATCAATCAATCTTAAAAAAAAAAGACCTCTGTATTACATGTCGGGGTTCTCCCCTGTGGTAGAAGGAACGAGGTCTCTGCGGACGGACGCAGGCGGTGCCCTGCCACCTGGGGCGCCCCCCGAGGGGTTCTCTCTCCAACGCCTGTCTTTTGCCTCCTGGACAGGAACGCGTACCCCACGTGCGAGGTGGTGGAGGTTCAGTTGTGCTACAATGTGGCCAAGCTGATTTACCTGTGCAAGGAGAGGTGAGGGCAGCCGCATTGCATGGCGTGGGCTCTGCCACCCCCACAGGGAGCCGCCCACCGCGCCACTGCCTCGGGCCCAGCTGGCACGGGGGGCGGGGCTCTGGGGCCCAGCTGGCACGCGGGGCGGGGCTCTGGGACCCAGCGGGCACGGGGGAGGGTTACAGGGGGCAGGGCTCTGGGGCCCAGCTGGCACGGGGGCGGGGCTCTGGGGCCCAGCTGGCATGCGGGGCGGGGCTCTGGGGCCCAGCTGGCATGCGGGGTGGGGCTCTGGGCCCAGCTG